TACAAAACTATTATTTTAGTTCAATTAATCATAATTTAATGTTTTGTATAAAGCTGTATAAGCTCATGATATTATTGTGTATAAGTCTATCTTTCGTGAATACTGGATTTTTTTTTTTAAATATAATCGGACGAAAACAAAAAATATAATACCTGCCTAGTATGCCTTAAGCCGTCCTGCCAAGCTGAAGTCGACAGTTACTTATGTTAAACTGATAATTTACTTAATGACGATTTATATTTATCTGATAAAATCCGGAATCAAATGAAAGTTAAAAAAAAAAAAAATGGAGAAAAAAAGCAATTGTTACTATGATTTTGACATAGCTATTTTCAATTTTTAACAATATCTTTAAAAATTGCATTTTGAAAAATAACTCAATACAGTTTATTATAGGATATCGAAATTTGATTGAAAAAAATACGTATACATGTACATATATTAACCGTAATATATATATGAAGCAAATTCTCATAAACAATTTCATATATTCATAATATTTATAGTTTTGCATTATTAAACGATTTTTTATTTCATTCATTTTAAGAATAAATGGAAAATATTAAATAAACTCCGTCCTATTTTATAATCAATTGCAATTCAGTCTTTCCTATAAGAATGCGAATTCATGAGTCATAGGCAAGACATGCGAGCGAATAAAATTGAAGAGACAGATGTTTCGCGATCACTTTCCCGACTCGCCAAACTGCACTCACATTGATTATAACAAATAAATGAAGGGATTCGAGGTTTGATAATTCAATTGACTCGAGACACTCCGCTACTCGAATACATTGAAGTGTTCAAATGTATTCGATATGTTCTGTCTCATTATACCAATATTTCGCGCACCAGAAAGGAAAATAGTCTTTATCAAATAAAAAATGATTCAATAATCTTTACCTTCCATTAAAAGAAAAATATTCTTATCGTTATTGTTGCTCTTATTGTCGTTATTATTGTTTGGTATTATTATTATTGTTGTTGTTATTATTATTGTTATTATAACGTTGCTATATAGAATATACAATTTACAGATATAAAGTTATATTTTTTTTTATATTTGATACGTGTAATAAGTATAAAAAAGTATATTAACGAATTTGAAAAATCAATTTTTTTATTTTAAACGAAATTTAATTGCAAAAGATTTATCACACATCAAGTGGTTTATCAGTTAAAACCACACATTTAATATGTATAATATGTATTTCAATAAATTACTTTCTATTATTAATATATTTTAGAATGAAATATATCATTGACTTCCCCAATGGAAAAAAATGTTTTTTTTTATTATTTAAAAAAACTTAATGAGATATTAAAAGTCTTCAAAATATTTGATAATGATTTTTCGATAAAAATGCGTGAATATTTTATTTTCCTATTAATTTAATGAGCTTGTCTCCTTTAAATTTCACAATACATTGCTTTAAAAGAAGTTGTTGCTACTTAATTGCTTACAAGACTACATAAGTTATCTTTCTTTTCTTGTACATGCATGTTATTATAAAATTGATAAAATTAATTCACCAAGGTAATTTCAGCTTTATTAATTTTTTTTCATTCTCTTATTAAGCTAATAAATTCCAAGATCGAATACTTGGGCTATTTTCAATGGTCAAGCTATATAATCGAATTGACAACACTTTAAAATAATTTGCTTTAGTATTGAATATGCTTGGTGCTTTACTTATCTGTAATCTATACTATTAGCCAGATAATTTTGCGAGATTATAAAAAAGACTTGATGTACGTTTTCTGTACAACAGTCTTATTTTTATATAGCACACATAAATTTTGTTTTCATTAAATTTCGCCTACAGTTCATCTTTTTTTTATACACATACAACTAAACATCTAAGACGAGTAAAAAATTTTAACTTAAATTTTTTAAACTACACATTAAACCAATGAGAAAATTTAACAAAAATAAATAAATAATTTAATGTATCGCATTTATGTATATCTATATATATATATATATATATATATATATATATATATATATATATATAAAAAAATATTATACCTGCTATATTTTAAATAATTTACCTGCTACATTTTAAAGATTTTTTGGCTTATATTATACCTTATATATTTTCTTAAAAGTTAAAGCAAAAGTGTAGCTTCGTTACTTCATTTAAATTTATTGTAATTAATGTTCATCGCGTATGTTCACCTTTAATAATGGTATGAATTTTTCATGAACTATTTTTGTTGTTTATTTTTATTCAACGTTCTTTCATTTTTCATAATTTTCAGAGAAGAAATTGATAATTATACGAGGTGAATAAGGTATGTGTATAAGCATCTTTCTGACATTTCCTTTATATTTATTAAATATTTTGAAATCTTCACGTTTTAACAAATTCATATATAATCAAATTATTTTAATATCAATACAATTGATTGTTAAAATTAAATATTTATTTCTATACAATAGATTTTTGAACGAAATTTCCTTAATATTATTGGCATATTTAAATATAACTAATATAAGATTCAAAGACTTTTTTATTTATGTTTATAAAAAAATAGTTAGAATTAAAAAATTTTAATTTATTAGTTATTAATATTATTTACGTAATAATTTAATAATAAATCTCTGTGGACATTAACATAAAAGCATTTATTCATACATATTGTACAGAAAAGTTTTTATCATCCTTTTAAGATGATGATTTGATTTTACTTCTATGAATCAATTAATTTGATTTTCCAAGTAGAGTAATTAAAGTATGTAAATAATAGGCAAGAAGTTTTGAAAAATTACGTGAGATATAATGTATTACAAGCATTATTTATATTATTTTTTAAGTATTCAAAATGTTATTTAAAATATTTCTTTTATAACTATGTATTATTAAACTATGTATTAATAAACGGTTTTACAAAAAAAATTGCCCTTTTTTGTATAATGGAAATCACAAATTTTTAGTACATATGACGATTAGAATTTTACGAAATGCGCAATTAGTTCACACTTTAAAAAATAGTTCGTCGACTTCATTATAAAAGCATGAATAAAAAAAAATTGACATTATAGACATTTTAAAATTTTGTAAACAAAATCTTTGAAGTGCTCCTTATTGAAACGTTATGTTTTCCAATAAATTAAGAAACTTTAGAGTGGCTACGGTGACGTTTATCTATAAAAAAAAAATAAAAAAAAAAAAAATAATAAGCGATACTCCTGGCATCGAAAATAATTTAATGTATGCAAAGACACGTAACTACTAGTACCAGCTATCACATACTTTTTAATAAAGATGTCGTCTATACATAGACGTACTTTTTAAATAATAAACTTATATTTATTTAATATTGAGGTAATTGTTTTTAATTAAAAAAACATGTTTTTATCTGCAATATCTTCCTTCATTCAAAATTTGCTGTATACGTGTGTTTTTAATAATTTCAAGTTTTTTTTAACAAATTCGTAAAAGTAAGGGATATACACTACCAATAAATTAGAAATAATATTGAATATATAAGATACTCGGATGGATTATTTTTGTGCTCAAGAATGAATAAGTCTGATATTTTTTTTTATTTTAAAATTTATTGATCATGTACATACTTCAAATTTTTTTAATATTGTCATTTAAAATTCTTTGGCTTTAGCGAGTTCGTTTTACAAGAAGTTTTATAGCAAATAAGGAAAATTTAACGTAATATATACATAGTATAATATCTATGCCGCAATTAGATTGTAAAACAAGTTTTTGAATTTACATAGATTATATCTAACTTTGTCATACTTTTTAAAAATTACGATTATTAATTTAGGGATCTCATTATGCGTGTATTATGTACATGCATAATAAGTATTAATGCCATATATTTGTCGGTAGTTAATAATAGAATAATATAATACCGTAATCGAATTCTTAAATTCGGATTAATTAAAATTAATTTTTTTAATCGATCAATTAAAATGGTATCTCGAATTTTTTTTAATACTCTAATGCGGAAATGATTTTCAAATCATCTAGTAAAATGAATCTATATTATTCATATAAATAATTAAAGATCAAGACAAAAAAATAAATAATTACATCAAATTAAAAATGCATAAATAAAACTTTAATTTGCTATATAATTTATATTGAGAAATTCTCACTCTACAGTATTTGTCTTTTCAAACGTATTCTTAATAAACAGACATTATAATATCTATGCCGTATAAAGAAAAATATCGATTATATATTACTTTATTATTTGTATGTAAATGACAAAAATTCGAGCTTCTATTATACGATGGTATACGTTTCACTTACTATTCACGTTAAAAATACTAGATGATTTTAGGTAATAAATCTTATTGCATTATTAAGAGAAAAGAAATGTAACAATGAATGTCCCGAGCGCTCGAAGGGAGGGAATATATTTATTAATCTACGCCCTTAATGGTAACGAACATTGTACACGTCAGAAGTCTCAACATCCAATAATTCCGATCGATTTATAATTTAAAATCCGTCGAGAGTATTCTCTACGTATTTTAACTTAAAATGGTATAATTTTCACATATCGTTCACGCGCATTCTTCAATGGCATAAAATAGCTAAAATGGTTCCCTTAACGGTTTCGGGCCCATCTAACTTCCATGACTTTTTAACGCCTCGGCTTATCCGCATTGGTGAATGGGTACAACTAGCGAAGGAATTAAAATAGACCCGCTGCTTGTGCGGTAAATAACCGCTGTAAGGTGCGAGTGAGCGATCGAAACGCGCCGACTCGCAATAATTCTCGCCGCTGGATAGAATGGATATACGTGTTGAGAAAAAGAGACGAACGAGATGTGAGCATGAAAAAAGAGAGAAAGGAGAGGAGAGAGCGGTCCTCGCCACAGTGGGAGGAACTAAAATTAGTGGAATAACCACCGGGTGAAACGTGATTCTTACGGAGGTCCAGCATTTTCGAAAAGTTCTCGTGGCTGATAAGGCGCGCGCGCGAGCGAGCTTCTCGCGCTTTTCTTCGCCGTTTCTCGACGTTTCGTCGTCAATATAGTGTTCCGTCTTCATACCTATCCTTGTTCTCATTGTACGTTTCGCTTATATTGATTTCGTTAATCCTCTCCGAGATCATGATTAAGAGCTCTATATCGTCGAGTGCACTTGTGACGATCATCGTTTGTCTTCTGCTCAATTCCGAAGTTGACGACGTTTTGGGTGAGCGCCGTTTTAGATTTATCATGCAAAAAATGTAAATCCGTCCATGCCTTTTACATGGCACGTGCAATTGATTTGATTAAATTGCGAATGCCACTGTTTTTAATACTCATAAATACTATTGTACGTTTAAATACTATTTACGCTGATACGCGTCTGCAGATTGGTAAACATAATTAATCTACCGGTATTTAATATTATGAAAATGCCAACAATTATCACACACGTGTCAGCTCGAGTCGAGCGAAGAAAAGAAATTTACTAACTGTAATTGTAATGACAATCAAAATCATAGCCCGATGTACCTCAATTTATAGCAATCAAACTAGTATTGATAAATTTTCAAGCACTCCTTATTAAAATGTATTACGACTTCAAAATACATGTATGAATAATTAAAATTTACGAATAAAGGTAGATTATATTGATAGTCAATTTGTAATTATGATTAAACATTTTTTTGTTTCTCGCCAATTAATGATAAAGAATTTAATATTTAATACATATTTAATAGGCTGACATGTATAATTATTTTGTAAAAATTATATATGATACGTTGAAACGAATGAGAAATTATACGAAATAAATAATTTATTGCAAATATATTTAGTATTAATATAAATCATGGAATCATTGTATTGATCGAAGTAATAATACATTATTGAATGCAATAAAATTTTGTATAATTGCATTTACTATAAAGCATTAGAATCAATCATAGACAAGTGCTTAATTATGCTATATTTTGGATTAATGTTACTCGTAGAATATTAATCATTTAATGATTAATGCATTTAATTTAAGAAACGGTTCGTTTTACGCTAAAGTATAATCATTAGCTCGTTGAAATATAAAAGAATATAAAAATAAGATAAATTTTTATTAAATCATCGATTCATGCATGTAAAGTCTGGTCGTATAATTATTGTATCTAATTGTTGTACAATTTATAATTGTTCACTATGCCATGAATAAATAATTTAAGTACACTTACTTTACACATGATATTTTAACTATTAACTAATTTATTCTTGATAAATTTCACGTTTGTCATAAATTTTGTTTCATATTATTTATTTATATAATTTAGCTCATTTCTTGTCTAGTTATCTAATCTAATCTAGTAGTATCTTTTTAATAAATAATTGTATATACATGTAATAATATTATTGATCGATTAAATGTATTACATTGTAGCGTAAAATTTATTATGTGTCATAATATATTACAAAATTACAATAATAAACAATAAATATTACAATAATCGTGGAAAGAGTTATATACGCATATTAAGAATTATAAATAAAGAAATAGACGCTCCAAAAATTATTATTCACTTAAATAATAACTGCAAAAAATAATTGGTTTGTCAATTCGACTTGAAACATCTTAGTAAATTAAAGTAATTGTCCCTCGTTAAGATTGCTACTATCGGCTGCATTACATAGTATAGTATTATCGTAGGTTTCAAGCTTGCAAAACAACAAAACGATACGATAGTCTGTATTTATAATATCTCCTTTTTTTCAATAATAATTTCCTTTCCATTTTATTAACAAGTTGTTATGTTATGTTCTATAAATAATTAGACTTCTTTTTCAAATAAATTCATCGTGTGCAAATAATAAATGTATAAATTTTCTTTTACATTTTTATATAAATCGAAATTTATAATTTATTATATACTTTCTTTTTTTACTAGAATTTTTCAATTAGTGATAACAGAATGACAAAATTTGCTAAAATAAGCAGTAAATTTTAGTTTTGACGGTGGTTCGACTTGTTTAATCTTGATTGTTTGAGATTAAAAAATATACCTTAATAAATTTTAAAACACATTCCTGTGCGTACGTGTAAGTTTTACGAATTCTCAATTTAAATATGAAAGAGTGAAATGCATCATTCTTGTATAATTTTGATTTTTAATGGAAAATGAGCCAATTATTTTTTTACCAATACTATATAAGGCTACACAAATCAGGCTTTAAAATAAATTTGATATTTTTCTTGTTTCAAATTTACTAGTATGTTTAATTGAGTAAAAGAAAAAAGAAACAAAAAATAACGATAATCTTTACGCGTAAAAGTGAATATTTCGACAATTAATTGATATTTTCATAATATGTTAAATTAAATAATCTATGAGGCTTATAGATATTTATTAATTCAATATAAAAGCTGGAAAATCTACTAATTTAATGTGCAAATCTGTAAATCTTATCTATATAATAATAGTGGGAGTTCGTATTACGATGAATGTAATAATATTCGAAGGTAGAAAATGCGTGTGCACGAGCAAAGTCTGCAAGGAGAGTGGTACCAAAACCTGCAGGACCCGCTACTCCTGTTACACCGAGCTCATATACAGCGGCGGTGTCAGAGCATTGGGAACCACGATCAAGACCACCAGAGGATGTACCGAGTAATTACAATCACTATTGTTTGAATTTATTTGGCATTATAAGTATAGTTTATAAAGCGACTGTGTTCACAAGTTTTAGTCTTGCATTCGTCAAAATTCTGAGGTAATTTAGAGTAACGTACAGGAGGAGTCGCTTATGCAACAAATGTATGCTAATATCTAAATTTTTTAATTGTTAATAACTCATATGTAAAATTACTTAGTTGAAATGTAAGGTGTGCTCGACGAATTGAAAATTTCAATACTTAGTGTACTTGGTTTCATCCTTGGTCCCGTAATGTTACTGGCATCCCTAGCTAATTGTTGATTAGCCTTTACAAGTACAATTTGAATTTCAAATAAAATGTTAATGTCGATTGGGTGGTTCTGGTGACGATGAAAGACGCTGCATTTTTCATTAATCTGATCTTCCAATACATTTATAATTAAAGAAAGTCTAAAAATATAATATTTATAAGACCTTGGTTTTATGCGTAAATGCTCTTTAAATTGTTTTTTATCTTAAGAACTTTCGAAGACAAAAATCTAATATTTTATAAATTATGTATTTAATTAAGTAAATGATTTTTAATTCAACGGGACTCTTGGCATTTCTGTAAATTTCGGCTAAAAAAATAAAATCAAAACACATTTATATTATAATTTTTCCATTTAAATAACGTAATCTTTGCTAATCAAGAAAGAAATTTTTTGCAAACAGTAAATAAACATTCATTCTACATTCAAACACTATATAATAAGTTTCTTTTTTATAAATTTTTTTAATTTTATGGTTTTTTTTTTTTTTTTTTTTTTTTTTTTTTGCCACTCTAAATATTACGAAATGTAAATAAAGCAGCATATAAAATATCGAATTTGGATAATCAGAAAGTCATATTTATATACAAGTAAATTTCTAGATATTATCTCTTGTAGACTTTCAACGTGCAGTATTAATTCGACTTACTCGGCAAAACATCGTAAAATTAAATTGGCCGAAGATTATCAGTGCCGCCGTCGTTCGCTCGCCGCCATTGCTGAACTTACACGAGTCTTATCAATATCTTTACGAGTAAATAATTGAAATCGTTTCAAGGCACGAATCAATCGACTCCTTCCTTATAACGCCAGCTAGAAAAAAAAGAGTCGAGTCCTTAAAAATAGACAAATTTTTTTTTGCCGATCCAAAAACAACCGACACTGTGCACGTTTATCAACTCGTTACGACACGGTAATTTTCATTTTGAAATGAACGTTTGGCAGCTGGCTTTCTGTAACAAATTATGGCGATTATGATGATGATGATGATGATGATTACTACTATTATTATTATTATTACTATGATAACGATGGCAATGAAGATAATAATAATAATAATAATGATAATAATAACAATAATAACAACAACAACAACAACAACAACAACAACAACAACAATAATAATAATAGTACCCACAACGAGATAGAGAGCAAATGATTTTTTTATCCTAACGTTTCGATCATACGAGCCGAGGGGTCATGAACTTTATCGACACAAATCTCCCTTTATCTTTCCTCTCGATAGTCTCGTCATTGCGAAAGCGCAACGACTACTGCATACAATTAATCTTTGATAGAGGCCTTTCCGTCTAACACTGCATACATAAGTTCTGCGAAACCTCATTATTATAGATCATTGTTTTTAACTCGTATCGTTCTCCAAACTGTTATGTTTTTTATAAGTCTAGCAAAACAACAAATAAATTTATGATTTAATAAAAAAGAGCAGTGTGTGCTTAAATGCAGTGTGTATAATTAAAATTTTCATATTTAAATATGTTTCTTAAGGAACAATTGCACATCTATTATGCTATGATTGCTATCAATTTAATTATATAGAATTATATTTTTAATATGCATAATAAGTATGAGAAAATATTATAATTACAAATATCTATATGAGCTTTATTTTTTATCAGAAGGGAATTATTGATCAAACTGAAAATGAACGAATAAATTCAGTGAAAAATTTTGACGATAATAATTTATTAATACAAATATTATTCAGTATGAAAAATAATAATGTACGGTAAATATAATGTAGAAATGTTACCTTTCATATTAGATATTTTTTGTCATTTGTGTATTTGCCTTTTGCACATATTCTCAACCTGTATTACAAATTTTAATATTATCGTTTCTTCTAATATAAAATTTATTTCAATTAATAAATATCTTTTTATGCAAAGTAAGTAGTCAAATGGTATTTAAAAAAAAAAAAAAAAAAAACAACATAATCACTTCATTCACTCCTTTGCACTATTTATTATTACGTATTCAACAAATTTTCTATAAGTAAATGATAATTATTTTATATAATTAAAATTTTTACGATTATTTCTCATGAGATACTATCATCGATTATACTGTACATTGATTATATAATAATATTCATTATTTAATGTTTAGTGATAAAAGGGAAATTTCATATTACAAAATTAAATAATTAAAGATATACTAAAAAAATTTCTACTTCAATGCCTCAGTTTCGCTAAAGAAAAATAAAATACAAATTAATTTTTTATCTATTTATGTGTGCATTATTTTTATTTATAATCATAAAGTTCCTCGGAACGTTGATTCCTATTAATTAGAAATTAAATTTACAATTAAACTTATGAGCTTTATAAAAATAAATATAAAAATTCAGTCAACGATAAAAATAAAATGACTTTATTTAATACGTACTAATCTATAATCTATCGATGTAAAATATTAAAACAATGGATGTTGATTAACTTTAAGTATTTCTTTAAATTTGACTGAAATTAAAAGAGGTTAGTAGTGTTTGTACGAAGATGAATATAAATTGCAATTAAAATACAATTACATTCAGCTAAAGATAAAACATATATAATTACTAAAGAAATAAATTTTTTATGTCTACATAAGTAAAAGTTATTGAATAAATTTATTTATCTGTTTTAGTTTTTATTTCCTTTGTTATCGGAAAAATCTGTCTTATTTCAAATTAAACGCATTAAATATTCTATCGACAAAATCAAACGTTTTTAATGAATTGATCTATCTTTCAGTAGGGAAATGGTGTAACATATCTCTGATATGAAAATATTTTCACTTATTAGAAGACCTACGCAGCAGCAATTATAGGCTTCTCAACGTCTACAAAGCAATCATCTAGTACTTTTCATTCAACGCTTCTTCGCGTCTTCAGCTACATTTCGCTCACTGTACTTTGTCTTCTTCTCATTAGTCGACGTGAGCACTTTGCGACTCTCTTTTCTCGTCATTAGCTTTGCTAGAGCAACATATCGTGTTCTTACACGTTACCACGAAGTCGTCAATTTATATTTTATTTACGCATAGGTAAGTATATTGTGTCTAGCTGCTATAAATACAGAGAAAAATCCAACTCATCCCGAATAGTCTTCCATTCTTTAGCAAGAATATTCATTTGTGGAGGCTGTTAAATTATCAATATTTTATTGTCCCAGACTATTTGGATATTCGATACAGTTTAAAAAATACAACAATTTACAATTCGTTCCATTACACCTTATAAATGAATATATAGATGATTAAATCACTGTTCAGTTATGAAATTGATGATCATAAAGAAGTAATCTAACTTTCGTTGGACAGCATTTATATGATAAAACTTACAGATTATCAGACAATTTCCCATGATTTATATCGATTGCAAAATATGGGAACAAAGTATGCAATTTATTCTTTAAATTTCAAAATGCGCTTCATAAACTAAAATCAACAATTAACATAGCAACATAATTTCTATGCTCAATGATTTATTTCACTTGCCTTGAAAAATACGCTTCAATGACAATTATAAAGATAAAATTTTAACAGCTCATGGAAAATCTCTTTGTTGAATTTTCTTTATCGAGCATCGATCTTAGATGAAAGACAGGCTTAAATAAATAAGCAACTTATATCGGAAAGTCAGAGGTACCAATTTATTTCAGCGGTCCGACGCCTCTCCTGTGCGAAACCAAATCCTGGCGGTCGAACGAGGATGAGAGCTCGAGCTCCTTCGAACTACTAGGTCGTGCAGCTTGGCCGAAGTTAACCTGTTGCGATAGCGACGACTACTGCAACGCAGCCGACGAGGACTTCGAGCCCACTGCGCGACCGGACGATCGTACACTCGAGATCTGGGATAACGCCTCGGACGCGAAACCAGGGCGGACGTCCGGTCGTCCTTACCTCCTAGGCGGACAGGCATCAGGGAATACCATAGCCAACGGTCAGGGTATCCAGCTTCACGTCGCAGCCCTCGTCTTGGCCGTCGCTGCCCTCATCTCCGTGTTCGCCGCTTGCTACGTCGTCACCAGGTTTGTCTTGCATGCCAACAACTCGCTTGTCTCCTGGTGATGTGGCTTCGTTTGAAACCTCACTGTCGAATACGTAATGGGACACCGAGGGCAGTTTGCTCCAGCTATTGCAGTGCGGTTTCCACTCGTGACAATTGCCGGTAAACTCTGGAGATTCGGTAGTTACTCAGCCGTTAAGCGCCACTTTTTTGTCTAAACGCCTCTTCAACGGGGCTCAACGGCTCTAATTTTTAAAAGACTTTTCATACAATCGTTATTGCTAGAATCTATTTGCTAAAATTTTTTGCAATATTGGTGAATATGATGGGTGTTGTAACATGCGTGCGCCAATTTTTTATTATTTCTTTTTTACTATCTATAGTCTCTTTCTCTCTCTCTCTCCCTCTCTTTGTCTACATATATCTATATATATATATATAATCTTTTGGCATATATTTAAATAATGAACTTTAAAAATTCTTATATTACGACTACATAACTTAACTAGAAGGTATTCCAGGCACAAATATCAATTCAAATGCTACTTCAAGTACATAGACATTTCTTGGCATTCGTTCAAATTTTATTAGATTAATGGAATCTTATAACTTGATTTCAATCAATATTCAAACAGATAATACTATTATTACTTTTATTAATAATCACTAATTAAATAAACGCTATTTTGTACCTTGACAAAAATAAACTATAATATTGACTTTATTTGTACACAATTTAAATCTGATATTTATCAATACGTTTTACTCTTTCACGCTTGTAATAATCTAATAAATGAAATGGCATAATTACTAAAATAATTAATTATGTTTTTAATTATGTATAATTTACTAAAGCGAGAGTTAATTATATTCTTATATATCATTTATAAATAACAAAATTTGTTTACATAAATGCCGATGATAATATTAATTAATAATAATAAGGAAGTTCTTATCGTCGAACCTTTAATATTATTCATAAATATTATAAAACAATTGGGATCAAACTAAAAAGCTTGAAGTTTAAAATATTAATTTGAAAAAAATTAAAGGTATCAACTTAAAAGTGTTAAAAGTTAATCACATAAAGTTAAACGTACGAGCATTCAAATACATAAAAAGATAAAGCAATTGAAATAATACGATATATACAAATTTTTATATAAATTTACATAAAATTAATTCACATAAAAACTTATGAAACGATTTGTTTTTCATATGTAATCTTTTATTTCTCACATATCAACAAAAAACAGTAATCGTAGAGTAATATTAATTAAAATTAAAAAAACTAACTGCAACATGCAAAAAAGTGTACAGACTACGTAGATTATTGTTTGATTATTGATAATGTAAGATGTCAAAACGATTTGTAGATAAATGGTTAAATATCTTAATATTAATTATTATTTGCACGTTTTATTATGAATTATATTTATATATTATATTATTTTATTATAGAACGATCTATATTAATGTTCCGATAATACATTGCAATAATAAAAATATATTTACATTTAAAATATCTTGCATTGGGAATCATATAACATAATGACTATAAAATTTTCAATCGATAAAGTAATTGAGACTCTAACTAATATTATTTAAATATCAGAAATACAATTTTATAACATTTTTTTTTATAATTATAAAGAAAATTTCTCAAATATTCTCAAAAGCTTATTTTATACATTTAAAAAAAAAACTCTATAATTGCATGCATTAAAGGTAAAAGAGAGTTGTAAACTATATAAACCGTTATTTTATTTTATTGTATAATTATAATTATCTAATGTTACACGATCGGTAATGATAATTACAGAACCTATTATACAAACTTTTATCAAATTTCGTCGTACACGATTCTTTTATCAATTAAAATACTGTTCTGCCAATATACTAATGATTTATATATTATTTAAAAAAAAAAAAAAACGAAAAAAATCTTGTCAGTTGTTATCTGTGGCATTTAAAACATATGGATAAGTAAAACAGGACAATTTCAAAATAATTTTAATGTAAGTACTTACAATTTATTTGTTACACTATCTCTAAACTTTTTAGTACGTGAATCCATACATTTTCTTCTAAATGAAATCTTTTATTTGTAATCGAAGTATGCACGGTGAACATATTTATTTGCATAAAATAATGATAACACAATAAATCACCACATTAATAATAGAATACAGGAACTCATTTGAATTAGGACCAAAGCGAATATGTGTATAAACTTAATTACATCAATTCTCTAGGGCGGACGACGATTTGTCTTAGATTCTAAGAATTCACGACCGTATATTCGGAGCGGAAGAGGAGTGACACTCGCAGAACCATAAATTAATTCCATTTTTTCAGCCGTTCATCAACGACGGAAAATATGTGGCTTTGCGTTTAAATTTGATAAAATAAATTGAATTTATAATTTTTATTCGTACACTTTTTATTGTATCTTTTTTAAAAACAATTAGACTTAGCATACTTATATATTTGTCGTAAGATTACAATATCAATGTTTAAGTTTTGAACTTTGAAAAATAAATCGTAACTGGTAAATGAATGTAAAATTAATTATTAAAGCTTATAAGAAATTGTTTGATATTTTCAGATATGCAAATAAATAATGCTTAAAATGAATATAAGAGACATAAATGGATGAGTGCTAAACTAAAAAAGTTACGCGCATATAAATTACTTTATTTATTTTTCATTGATATACAAATAAATTAAATTGAAATGTCTTTGATATTGAAATTCGTAAAATAAAGTTTTTACTTTTGACTTTTAATGGCTATGTATGTCCAAACCTTTTAGGAATTTATCTACTACTTAATAGGACACTCCTTTTCCACTATTTCAATTGTTCTTAAATTTTAAAATGTTAGACGAATGACTAACAGCTTTCGTAAGTAAAATTAATATTTAACTTGTCACATTACTTATTACTCAATACTATTAACAAATGCAGTTCCATTGCTTTTTTTGGTTTCAAAGATCATAAATGAAGTAATAAATCAAGCGATTGATCTCAATTATTACAAGTAAATTATTATTTTCATTCTTAATTTTATTGAATGTAAACAACAAATAACAAATAACAAATAACAAAGTAATTTCCGATTGATTTGTGTGATTCTTATCTATTCGATAAAAAATCATTTTTTTGTCTATCCAATAAATTTCGACTCTTTCTTCGAGAAAAATATGTGCATCGCAGAAAATCACGGGCACGATGGAATTTATTACTTTTTAAATATAAATCTCGCGCCATTAATTGCATGTAATTTACAAAGTTTTGTCCATCTTTATTTCTAACGATTTCCTATAATTCCAAGGACACTAGGATAAATATAAATACTATTATAAAATTCAAATATTTTCATCGTCGACGTTAGGACAGCTCTTTTAGCCTCCGGCATCAAATGATATCATTCTCTTTCAATTAGACCGTCAACTCATTGATTATCACCGATTCTAATACATTCCATTCCGAGTTTACATTGGGGATTCGAGGAAAAGCGGCCAACGTCACTGATTTTCGTCAGAGTATCGGGCATACTAACAAGAGGCTGCAGTATCTTCGACTCGCGCGATTTGCGTAATATCATGCTAATACGTCTCGCGTGGCATCGTAATCACTTCCCCCTCCAAATGCGCGTCTTACTACCCGGCCCCTTCGTTTTCGCCGCTATTTAATTAGCATAATTTATTGCATTCCATGGGTAAATAAGCGCGTCCCATTGGCTCCGAAGCGCGCGGCTCTTAAGCTTTTTCACGCTTTGCGTCATCGTCCAACTTGACTCGTACTCCAACCTCGAATTTACGAGACGATTCTTCGATTCATTTCGTCAAGATTATAAAATAAGTAGAGGGTTTTTTTTTTTCGATAATGAAACGCCGTTCAAGGAATTTTTAATGTCAAACTATCAAAGGAACGACTCCGTCGGTCAATATCATATAAACTACCTTTCCGATTTTTTTTGCTTATTTATGCCGGACGTATTGCCAGTTGGCTAGAATATCAAAATTTAAACTTAGATGATTTTTCAAATTTGCAAGTGTGCAAAACATTATAAGTATCATAATTATTTTTTTGTGTTTTACATTTTATTCCTAGTATCCTTAAAATAAATTTTTAAGACTTATTTAATCATAAATAAAGAATAGTTTCAAACAGTATTTAAATAACAGGCGTGGATATGCACAGAAATTTATTAAATTAGTAATATGCATATATTGATCAATTGCAAAACAGTTATGTAAAAGAAAATTCATTTTACTATAAAATATAAAAGAAAAATGTCTTTGAAATAATTAGCGATAATCGTCAATAGTAAATAAAAAGTATTCTCTCTATCTAGTGGCATTTAAGTATATATAAGGATTATGAAAGCTCGGAGAAATTATAACACTTTTTTTCATTCTATACTAACTCGCTTTTAATCATTAAATACATCTAAAATTTATCTTTAATTAACTAAAATAATGAAGAGAAATACAAAATGGTTAATCGAATAATCAAAATGACTACTAATGGCTTAAATATCGAAGGCTTTAATATAGAATTGTAATCTTTTAAATTGTAATAGGTGTGAAGAATTTTGTTTATTGATAATATTTAAAAAGAAAATTGTATTAATGTAATCTATATAATGTAGTTAATATAGCCAAGAGGAATAAAACTCTATTCCGATAATGGATTTTGTTTTATATTTTTCGAAACATAATATTCTATCGTTTGATAAAATATATCATATAACTAAATATCAGATAACTAAATATAATTTTATCTAAATTATTAATAAACAGTAAAATAGAATTTAAAGTGAATTTATTCAGTCATGATCTTTAGATCGGTATGTTTGCATCTAGGCAATTTTTGTTGAAATAATATAATATTAATAGTAATAGAAAGTCATTATTTACATATTGTTAACATAAATGTTTAATTTTTTTAATATATAACATCTGTGTCCAAATTCTAAATTATTTACTAATAATTAAACATGTAAAACTATCCGA